CTGAGAAAAAGATGCTCTATTTCAGCTGGGATATCAGCCTGCACTAGCAGGAGCCATGCTAAGTACCTCACTGAGAGAAGCTGCCTAAGAATGAAGCCAGCACATAGCTCAGCAGAGTGATGGAGAGGTGCTTTTGACTTCATTTGTGCCCCTCGATCAAACTATGCCTGAAGTCCACATAACTCACAAACTTTAGTTACATAAACCCATAAATTGTCCATTTTAAAAAACTGTGGTAAAATATTCATAACATAAGATTTACCATCTTAACCATTTTTAAGTGTACAGTTTGGTGGTATTAAATATAGTCACATTTTTTTGCAAACATCATGACCATTCATCTCCAGAACTTTTTCATCTTGCAAAATTAAAACTCTGTACCAATTAAATAACTCCTCCCTATTCCTCCCTCCTCCCAATTCCTCCCTTCTCCCAGTCCCTGGCTACAACATTCGGTCTGTCTCTATGATTTTGACTATTCTAAGTACCTCATGTAAGTGGAATCATGTGGTATCTGTGTTTTGTGACTGGTTTATTTCACTTAGCATGATGCTTTCAAGGTACATTCACGTTGTAGCACATGTCAGTATTTCTTTCCTTTATAAGGTTGAATTATATTCCATTACATACATGCCACATTTTGTTTATCCATTCCCCCACTGTGGACACTTGGGTTACTTCCACCTTTGTGTTACTGTGAATAATGCTACAGACATGGGGTGCATAAATTGCCTTTTTTGACCCGAGCTAGGTTGAATGTGTTTCTGGTACATGCAAAGAGCGATGCCTAATTCAGTACCTGAACCATCTGGACCAGAGGCCTTAAAGTTGAACGAGAGGGGCCGGCCCGGTGGCGCACTGCTACAGTGCGCCGCTTGGGAAGTGCGGCGGCGCTCCCGCTGAGGGTTCGGATCCCACATACAGACCGGTTCCCGCTCACTGGCTGAGCAAGGGGCGGGCACAGCACCGAGGGTTGCGATCCCGTTGCCGGTCCCGGTCCAGTACGGGCGCGACACTGAGGGTTGCGGTCCGTTGCCGGACACGAAAAAAGACAAAAAGGAAAAAAAAAAAAAAAAAGTTGAACGAGAGGTGTGCTCCAGGTCACGAGCACATCAGATCCTCTCATGAGCAGTAGATCCAGAGAGAGGAAAATAGCAAGTGAGGCAGAGATGGTGAGGGGGACAGCTGTGCCTGTCACTGGTGCTGTCTTTTCTACTGGCACTGCCTGTGAGCGGCTGCCAGGGTTACACTGTGGTTAGCACCTATCTGGATGCCTAGCACCCCTGGCAGATTCTCCATCTTCCAGATGTGTGTGTCCAGTAGGAGAGGCAAAAGCCCCACGCTTCTTGCAGCTTGCGGCCAAAGATCTTTCCAGTAGGACCACTGGCCTTTGTTCCCAGCTGATCCTACAAGCCAGTATTCTCCCAACCGATATGTCCTTTCTAAGCCTTCTCCTCACCCCACGGAAGAGGAGCATGGCCCACTTGGAAAAGCTGATGCAAGCTATGGGCAATTTCTGCATAAAAACAGAATGTTAGAAAGTTCATGGGCCCCTGAAGGCCATTCTTATTCCCCACAGGGTCCCAAGGAAGGGGAGGACTGGTGCAGGTGGAGGGAGACTAAAGCGATATGAGAACCACGTGCAGGGCCAGATCCTGGGCTGGGCCCTCAACAGGAGGGGGAGAGGTCACAAACTGAAGAAATGACAGGCAACAGTGTAGCATCAAGATTAAGTTCCTGATGCTGCCACAGGAGGGTGACAATGTTGCATCGCTACTGTGGTTATGTAGCAGCATGTTCTTGTTGCAGGAAATACTTGCTGAGTATCAGGAGCAAAGAATTGCAATATTTGCAACAAAATCTCAAAATGGCTCAGGAATGGAAGGGAAAGAGAGAGGGAGGAAGGGAAGGAAAAATAGGAGGAAAGAAGGAAGGGAGGGAGGTAGGAAAAGGAACGAAAGAAAGGGTAAACAAGAGAGGAGAAAGAGGAAGGAAAGAAAAAAAGAAATGTATTTATGTGCATTTGTCTTTTTTTTTTTTTTTTTTTTTTTTTTTT